CAGTGATGCTTTCACAGTGGGGAACTTCTACAGTGCCCTCACCCCAGACATCCAGAGGGTGATCTAGTCTCTATGCCCAGGAGGGGATACTCTCACTAAGACTCCACCCAAGCTGAACCAGATGATCAGTACCTTGGCTGCCCGCGATCATTCGTGGGGGCAGAGCAGCAGAGGCATACATTCCCGGGACCGGGGTGTGCACGCTATGGAGGCCAGGTCCGGGTTAGAGCATCAGGTGGCTGAGTTGGTGCAGACATTGAAGCAGCCCAACAGTCTCCTTCCGGGCCGAGGTACAGCTCCGCCTCTAGTTGCTCAGTGTCAGTGGTGTGAGAGCCCAAATCACTGGGTGGAGGACTGTCAGGTTATGAGGGAGTCCTCTACTCCCCAAGAGCAGGTGTACTTCATCGCAAATGCTCGGCGCCTGGACCCATATAGCAATACCTACAATGAGGGATGGCGCCAGCATCCCAATTTTGCCTGGAGCAGCAACGCCACTAAACCCCCTGGTTTCCCAGCACCAGCGGGTGGTTTTCAGCAGAGGCAGCCTTTCCAGGCTAGACAGGGGCAGCCATTCTAGCAGCCCCACCGTCAGTATGCCAAGCCAGCAGCAGCGCCAGCTCCCGATAATCAGATGACCGAGCTGAAGAACATTTTGGCGGCATTCATGACCACCAGCCAGGCGAATTTCACGAGGGTGGACCAGAGCATAGCCTCTCTGGAGGCAGGACAGAGGAACCAGGGTGCCATTCTGCAAGATTTACAGAACCAGGTTGGTGCCATAGCTCGCCAGATTACTACTCGGGCCCCGGGGACTCTACCTGCCACCACCATCCCTAATCCATGGGACCCGCACGAGCAGTTGGATGCCATCTTTACCAGGACGGCAGGCCTACATCGGTTGATCCTGCCCCGACCAGGCAGGAGGAACCACTACCTGTTTCAGCACTTCCAGCCGGTGATGAAGAAGTGCGGGTGGAGAAGGAAGCCCCTGCCCCCAAGCCACAACCAGTGGTTAAGGAGCACGTACCCCAGCTTCCCTTCCCCACTCGCCTACACAAAGACAAGCTGGAGACTGAGTTTGCCAAGTTCATGGCAATGTTGAAGCAGCTCAACATCAGCGTGCCTTTTGTGGAGGCACTGTCGAAGATGCCCAATTAAGCAAAGTTCATGAAAGATCTCCTCACCAACAAGAAGAAACTTGGGGATCTCTTGACAGTGCTGCTGAGCGAGGAATGTTCTGCTATCCTGCAGAACAAGCTGCCCGAAAATGCGAAGATCCAGGGAGTTTTACTATCCCTCTTACTATTGGCAGCATGCATGTAGGAAAGTCCTTGGCGGACCTAGGCACTAGCATTAATGTCATGCCATATAAACTGTTCAAAAAGCTAGACCTAGGTGAACTTAGCCCTACTAGGATGAGCATTCAGCTAGCTGATCGTTCCGTTGTGCATCCTAGGGGTATCATAGAGGATCTGCTTGTTAATGTTGGTGCATTCACATATCCTGTTGATTTTGTTATCCTGGACATAAATGATGATGTGGATGTGCCTTTGATTCTGGGTAGACCATTTCTTGCCACCTCCAAGGCATTGATTGATGTGCATGATGGTAAACTGATCTTGCGTGCTGGGAATGAAGAGGCTACTTTTTCTGTGACTGAGTTTGATCATTGTGCTATGATTTCTGTATCACCTGTGCATGATATTTCTGATCAGGTACACGAGCCTGTCGTGTATCCTTCTGCACCTCTCATTTTGCAGGACCCTCCTATCATTCCTTCGCCGCCACTCCATCCAGCCTCGCTTCCGAACAAAAAGCTCAAGGAGGAGTGGCGGCCGAAGCAGCAGGTTGCTAAGCCTGCACGGAAGAAGGGTGGGGACCACTACGAGCTGGTCCCACCCCCTGCACCACGACCACCCTGGCCGTCCGGGTTCTCACTTGCCTGCATCTTGCCGGATGGCCAGGTCGAGCTGACCGATGATGGTGGTCGCATCCGTCGGGTGCATGGCCACAACCTGAAGCTGTACCTCAAGAGCGATGGATCGCTAAGCCTGGAAACGAGGCAGCACAACGGGGTGCCAAACGACTGGGTACCAAGCAGAGTACCAAACAGGGTACCAAGCCGGCAGGGCGGCAAGATACCAACTTGATGAGATTCTAAAAGCCTAAGTATGCAGCAAACAGGGTACCAAGCCGACAAGGCAAGGCCTGGTACCATGACATGAAATTTGGCTAAGTATAGAGCCAAAGGGGCATAAAGCCGACAAGGCAGGCTTGATACCAAAAGACATGAAAATTGGCTAAGTATGGAGCCAAAAGAGTACCAAGCCGGCGAGATAGGCTTGGTAGCCAGACAACAGGGTACCAAGACCCTAAGAGGGTAAATTTGGCTAAGTATGGAGTAAGGGGGTACCAGGCCGGCAAGGCAGACTCAGTACCAAGACCCTTAGAGGGTACCAAGTCGGCAAGGCAGACTCCGGTTGGGTACCAAGTCATCATGGACATGATGTAGAGTCCCTTAGGGGACTATATGGAGACTAAGTCCCAAGATAGGCTTGGTGGCCCCCCTAACGGGGTACCAAGCCAGCAGGGTGCAAGGTACCAACTTGATAAGATTGCAGAAGTTAAGTATGGAGACCAAGCCGACAGGCTTGGCTTGGTAGCAAGGGAGATGAAAAGTTGGTGCCATGACAGTCTCTCCAAGACTAAGTGTGGAGACTCGGGCATAAAGGGGGCCAAGTTCTCATCCTGTCTAGGTGGGTAATATGGCTAGCTATCAAGACGGTTCATCGAGGTTGCTAGCAAGATGAGAAGTGTGGAGTCGTGTCGAGGATGTAATCAAGACTTCCTCATGGAGGCTAAGGCAAGACCGTTCATCGAGGTGGCTGGCAAGATGAGGAGCGTGGAGTCGTCAGCGTTGTCGAGGATGTGATCAAGACTTCATCATGGAGGCTAAGGCAAAGAGGCTCAACCCTATCCAGTCATGACAGGGAGACAAGGCTCAACACCAACCCAACCCGGCATCGAGACCATCAAATACCCACCAGCCCCAAGACGGGACAAGGGCCCTAAGGCGAAGGTTACCAACTAGTCACCAAGACGGTTACCAAGGCAGTTACACCTAATGTCTATAAATAGGAGAAACTAAGATTGTAAACTGGTTCCACAACCAACCATTTGACGCACAATGTCAAACTTTTATCCTTTCTCTGCAAATTAGCCATAGCCCTTAGTTTTCGGAGCTCTCACTGAACCTCCATAGGAGTAGGAGTAGTTTAACGTAAATTTTTCCCAAAAAACCATCAAAAAAATCAAACACCCTCGTTCGAACATTGTTGGGAGAGGTGTCAACCGTGTTGATTTTCGTTGTTCGAGAAGTCAAAGGTGCATTGATTGAAATCAAACACAAGATTTTCCTCGCCGGAAAACATTTTCTTAACCGATTGATTAAGAGAGTGGGGTTTCCTTCACTTGTTGCGCCCTCCTAATAGTGTATGAACACACCTTCACACAATTGCATTCTTTTCAGTCGATCTTGATATGTATCTAGGGGGAGCGATACCCGAGTGAACTCTTTTGTCATTGGAGCAATCTTTATTTACTTTACTTGTTTGTTTATTTTGTATTTTTCTTAGTATTAAACCCAAAATCGTTTGCTAGATAACAACTTAAGCGATTAAAGTAGGGCTAAATGGACCGACCCGGGTTTGATAATTAAAACATACTTGCCATATACTGCATCCGATTAGGGTTTATACTTGGGCTCTAATCAAGATTTAATTCACGGTGTAGTCCGTGGTGAGTCAAGTTTTAGGCACCGTTGTCGGGGAACCTTATGGTCTGTTATCCAGAAAAAGTTGCTTTGTGTTACTTTAGAATTTTCTATCTTGCCTTTTTGTTTTTGTTTTGTGTTTCATTTGTGTTTTGTTTACCACTCTTTGTATTGAAGGGTGGTTTGTGTGTGTTTGATTTTCATTTTTAGTGTTTTTGTGTTTCTAGGTATTGGATCATGGATCCTTATGATTTCACCCAAGTGTGGGGGTATCCACCACCACCCGAGAGTGGTTACCCCGAAACTTCATGGGACGATCAAAAGGAGGGAAGTCAAGGATCCAGGTTCTACTACCAACCCCCCTTCCAAGAAGAGCAACCATGCTCATGGGGATACCAAGAAGCTTCCCCATATCAAGAGGGTTTCCCTCCACAACTCAAGGTGAAGTCCAAGTTGGAGTTGGCCATGGAGGCTTTCGTGGGACAAACCTAAAGACCATGTGCCACTCCACAACCGGAGCCATAAAGAAAATTAGAGCTCATGATGGAGCGATTTGTCCGGGCACCAATGAAGTGTGCTCTAGCATGGACCTCCCAATTGCTGATTCTTTCGAATCAACCTTTCTACGGGAATCAGAGGAGCTCCTTCGACACAGGGAGAAGCTAGGAGGGCTCGTTGAGCAAGCATGTGCCCAACTCGCTCACAATCGCCTCCTACCATTTAAAGGAAGAGAGGAAGCTGTAGAGGCAAGTCATGAGAACTTTGGAAGAACGAGCTCCGATATGGATTTCTAACCCCTCCCTCCACCCCGTGGCACGAGTTTGTGCATGCCATCGCCTCTAACAATTAGAAGAAGAAGTGGAGGTTGGAGGGAAGGTCCACGAAGACTATGTGAAACGAGAAGTACTCATCCCGGAGAGCTCTCGTGATGAGGATGATCAAGAGTGTCTCATTGGCGACCCCCATACTTTTCCCTTCCCAAGACCAACTTTGAAGACCAAGTCACAAGAGAAGAGGAGCAAGAGAATCCTTTGTATGATCTAGCATGGCATCTTGCTCTTTAAACCGTGCTTGAAGACATGAATGGAAAGGTAAGTGAAGAGCAAGAGGAAGAGAGGAGAGAGTTTGTGAAAATTGAAGAAAGTAAAGATCTTGATTGTTCCCAAAAGGAGGAAATTGAAGAAGAAGGAAGGCAAATTGAAGAATAAGGGAAATTGAAGAAGAAGGAAGGCAAATTGAAGAATAAGGAGCAAGCTGTGTCCAAGATGTGGACGAGTTCATGGTGAAGCATCCACGAGTTTACCTCCTTGCGAAGGCCTATGCCACTTTTTATGGGAACCTAGCCGAATTACTGCTCTTCACAAAAGGAATGAAGTTTGATAAATCAGCGACAAATATATATTCAGATTCCCTCCCAGCTCCATTGGTGAAAAGTTAAAACCCACAAACCTTGGGGACAATGAAGAAGGAACACAAATCAACAGCCACGAGTAGCGTTCAAGAGCTGTTTATTCCCAAGCAAGATAAACTGGGATACCAAAAATGGAGAGCATTACAAGCCAAAGGGAAACAATCTTCAGATAGAGATCCCCAACTTCTTCTTCAGCTTCTCCACTTCTAAGTAAACAGTGGAATAGGGCAGAAACTCTGAGAAGTAGCTATTGCTTAGATCGTTGATTGCCACGGCGAGCTTAGGAATTTCCAGCGTCTCTTCGTGAGTCAAAGTCCGGACAAACCTCGCCGGATTTCCAGCCCAAAGTTCGCCTGTCGGGATTCTCCTCCCCGGGGGAACAACCGAGCCAGCTTCAAGAATGGAGTGCGTCTCCACCAGAGAGCCTTCCATGAGGATAGAATGCTGCCCAATGATGCATTCTGGCTCAATTGTACATGATCTCAACAGAGAGTATGCCCCAACGGTTACAAACCTATCAATTGATGTCTCGGCCGGCAGTCCTGTAACATCAAAGGAGCATCATTAACTAATCAGAAAAGCAGAATCAGCATCTGCAAGCCTTCGATCATTGAATCGAAAACATGGCCCCGTGCTCCTGTCATGTGCCTTTGGAAGGCATGCAAATGTCGGATGATATTCTTAAGAAGCGAAAGAAAGACATCCTTGCATCAAGTTGAAATGAAACTGCTGAAAGATGACTACTAATGTCCTACTTGTTTTGCACAAAGAAACACCTAGATTTTTGCACACAAGATTAAGGAATTCGCATACAAGCCGGACAATTGTAGAAAATATACCTTGTAAGTATAATTTGTGTCCACCTATAAGATTCTACTGCAAACATAGAAATAGCCAGCAAGTCTAAATCGAATCTCAAACTAATTCTTCATAGTAAATCTAAAAGGTTAACGCTCCAGATACTGAAAGTGCAGTAAGAAGAGGCATGTAAGCTGGGATATCAAAAAGATGCATATCGTGAAAGAAAGCTCTCTAAACTACTCAAATTCTGCATGCAGAAAGTAACTTTGGCATCAACCAGACATTCACACCAACAACTTCAAAGGGACCTTCAACACGAGAATTTAAATGCGATTGCAATCTAAGAAGAAACAAACACACAGTATACGATAAAAGAGTGACACAGATCTATACTAACTGCAGACTGGCACCCATCAAAATCATGGCTTCCATGAATGTGCTGTACCTGCCGAGTTATGAGTATTGCTGATAGACTTCAAACAGGTTTTCATCACGAGCCAAGTGGTTGAGAGGGTTTATACCGCGAAAACTCAACAAATGGGGTCTTACAAGGCTAATGACAGCTCCAAAACCATTCCACCGACTAAAACATAAACTCTTCAGCTCTCAACTAAATGCCAACCGAGTTCCTCAAACTTTGCCACCACGTACCTCAAAGACAGATTGATGTAGCAAATTGGGCATAAATCATAACTACCATTCTCAATGACTAAAATCTCGATACCCTAGTCTAATCGCGATTATTCGATTGAAACCCAGGCAGGCTGAATAACTCATCGATGAACGACTAATTGAGCCAACACAGGGAAAAATTTGCACATGAAGCAGAAGAAATCCACACACCTGTTGGAGAATTCCAGGCGGCATGAAGGACACACCGCTCCTGAACGTTGGAGCAGAATCCGACAGTGATCTTGTTGAGATCGCCCCGGAGTACCGAGCCATTCCACACAGAGGCTCCGTCACAAACCTTAACCTGACCGGCGAGGACGACGTTGGGTGCAACGTAGGCGTCGACGGCGATCTTGGGGAGCCACTGGCCCAGCGGGATTATCTGCCGCTGACCTCGGTAATCCCATTTCACTTGATCCGGCGACGGACTGATCGTTCTCGACGATGCCGCCTCAGTGGCGACGGCACGGACGATGAGCTGGCGGTGCTGAGAGAGAGAAGCCGCTAGGGCCTTGCGAGAGATTCGAGCTAGGGCAGTAGCCATTTTTCGCAGTTCGTGGAGCTTCTTCGCTTCGAACAACAATGAACAAGGTGTGGAGAAGTGGAAAACCAGAAATGGAATGGAGGGGACTGGAGTGGAGTGGGAAATTTGGGCCGGAGGTATTTACTCGGCCTCGGCGTCTGCCTTTGGGCTTCATGTAAGTAGCCTGTAAATGATGGGCTGTCTTGTCCAGGATCCATTTTCAAAACATACAAAATCTTACCGGTGCTTTGGCGAATAAGGGTAATGTCTATTTTTTATCCAAACCTTTTTCAGATTCTTTTATTTTAACCAAACCTATTGAATTCCTAAAAATTATCCAAACGTTAACTCTCTGTCAACTTTCTGTTAGTAATACTGACTAAGTATGACCATAATGAGTTGACTTCCTACGTGGCGGTCAGAATACCATCATTTACTATTTTTAATAAAAAGATTATCAAAAAACAAAACAAAATCTCACCCCTCACGTGGACGAAATAAGTAACGGTAACAGAATGAATGCCCAGACTTTGATAAATTATAATACGTTTGGATAATAAATAGAATTTCTATAGGTTTGGTTAAAATAAAAGAATCTGGAAAAGATTTGGGTAAAAAATAGACATTGCCCGGCGAATAAAAAAGGCAGCATTTTAGCGATGGCCGGGAATTTTTTTATCATTATTATTTATTTAACTTCAATATTTAGTTAGTCAATGTTGTTGATGCAATATACATGTAATCATAAAATTTAGGGAAATGATTATTTATTAACCAAACGTTTTTTATTATTATTCAAATTTATAGAAATACTAAAAATTAGTCAAATGTTAACTTTCGGTTAGCAATTTTGTTAGTAATATTGACTTGGCAACATGATACTGATGTGGAAGAGATACATGAAGGTTAACATTCCAAAATTTTAGTATTTTAAGAAAAGAGACAAAATCATTAACGATAACGTAAAAATGGCTAATATTTTAATGCATTACAAAAACTTTGGCTAATTAATAGCATTTTAATAGGTTTGAATAATATAAAACAATCTGAAAAAAGTTTGAATAAAAAATAGACATTACCGAATTATATTTATGATATAATGTCCCTTATAATTTCATGTAAGTTATTGTACAATTCTCAAGATGTGCTACTATAGTTGTCATGTCGGTTGGTGGAACTAAGTTCAATCGGTATCGATCAAAAAATCTAATGGAATACCACCGGTATGAAGTGTCAGTTAAAGCTGGTCAACGCCAGTCAAAATCGCTAAATATCGTTCAAAACTTGAAAAATCAGTGGCCCACCTTACAAGTCCATTTTCTTACCCTAAACAAAATGATATTGTTTTGATGAATTTAATTAACAAAATATTGTATTTAAATATGATAATTTGTCTTTATGTTTGTAATGTATTTTGCTTAAATATGGACTAGGAATTAACTCGCGCTCTGCCGCGGGGTATGTTGATTTGTGTCGCCAGTGTACATGGGGATGTAGAATTGCGTGATTTGCCAACTCACACTAAGCATCATCATTGCCAAACCAAGAATGACGACATAGATGATTACATTACAATAGGAGCGCACAAAATGTACTGGGGATTGTACTTCGACATGGCAAAAAATCTTACCGGGGCGGATCTGAGAAGAACTTATCAATCTTACCGGGAAAAAACACAACCTCCTATCAAGACCATTCCTGCTTATGAGATTAAGGTGGGAAAAAACAACCCAACCTAACAAAACGGTTCAAATTCAGAATCCAAGAAAAAAGACCAACCTCAATAGAGTTGAAAACAATTTTCCATCGTCACTCATCAACCTATCATGGCTATCCTAGTATTCCTTGCTGCACCAAATCATACATGCCTACTTGGTACATCGAAGTCTCAAGTCCTACTCACTACACTCAAGTAAAACTCTGTTTTTTGGTAGTGAAAATATCAATTTATTTGGAATCGAAAAAATTGATCAAAAGTACATATTTTTTAGGTATAGATTTTATGCGACAGCTTAAAATCTGGATATCATTCTCAATGCCTATTCCAACGAAAGATAACTTGGAATTGTAAAGTTTAGGCTAACCTTAAAAACAGAACAATGTATTCAAGTGCGAAAGAATAGAGGTCAACGATTGGTTATATGTTCCTATATCAACACTTAGCATTACAACCAATTTGAAACTTCAATTAGATCCTCATTAGTTTAGAAGTCCCAGATCTCTCCTGGTCTCCAAGAATCCATCTTCTTCTTGTAGATCAACGCACTGCCAGAATAGAGAGAAGGAATTAGACAATCTTAACTCAGCTACTAAACTTTATCCCTAGTAAAAAATCAGTAGAGAATTAAGCAATCTGAAATTCGGGACTGAGTAGCTGCAACGCCTCTCTTGTGCTATGGAAAGTATGGAGAACTTGTTCCAATTGACTCCCAACTAAAACTACTGATCAGAGAGGTCTGCATCCCTTTCGAGACCTGCAAAAAAAAAATAGCAGTTACAATCAGAATCTCCAAGTCTACTCAAGCTTATTCAACACACATTTCCACATCCATAACACCTGAAGATAATCACCCATCATATTATGGAACTCAAGAACTATAAATTTCATTTTCACATATTTTGAACATTTGAACGCAAAGAAAGCTTAAAAACGATATTTCAAAAGCAAATGGCCAACTTTAAATTGGCATACATCATGTGCTATAAAAATAGACTTGTATGAAAAATACACCAGCAAAACATAAATTGAGAAATTCAGTCTCATAGTGGTCAGAACTCAGAAAGATGTCCAATTTAGAAAAGCATAATGTGAAACCCTATGATCCACTGAATGATGGATAGCTAGGCTACCTAAATTACATTATAAGATCTTATCAATAGGGGAGATTTCCCAAAAGGAAAAGCATGCATCTACCCACATCCAAAAGCAGAACATGTGTCCTTATAGAGTAAAATGAGAACAATTGTTGCTGGAACAAACTCTTTACCATTTGATACACTATGAACATAAAGAACCATATAGCAAGAGGGCTACTAACCACAATGATCATAGAGACTATTGGTTCACAGCACTGCTTCTAGAAGAAGCAGATGAGAACAAAACAACATCATCGAAGGCAACACTTCATATCAACAACCTAGTCGCAACCGTGGCATCCTTTGAATCCTTAAAGGATGTAGGTAACAACTATGCATCGACTAATAAAGAGTGCATCACCTACATGATTCATTTTCCAGAGCACTTCGTATACAGTAGGGGTGGGAAACGGTGTGGTTGCGGTTAACTGCACCGCAATTTGCGGTTACCTGCAACCGCAAAACACCCATATTAGCCAACAGCGACCGCGTCCCTCACGGTTAGCGGTTAACCAAAAACCGCAGAACGCGGTTAGCGGTGAACCGCGGTTTATGGTTGTAAAACCGCAACAACCGAAATAGTATACGAAACCGCGATTAAGCAATCTAACCGACAATTAACCGCGAACTAACCGCAAAAAATTCATGGGAAAAAAACACAGCAGCTACTGTTTTGTCTATTTTCACTTCCATCAAGCCCCTGCATCTGTCTGCATATCCAAATAACACAATCCACTAATGCACACGCCGGACGGCCAGGGACGGCGGCGGGCGGATGGCAGCGGCAGAGCGCCGCAGCGGGAAGATGGGAAGGGTCGAAGCTCGACTCGAAGGGTTTTCAGTTGCCAGTGGGAATGGACGAAACGAAGGGTCGAAGGGGATTTTTGATTTTTGTTTCGTCAAATCAAAACGACGGCAGGGAGAAGTGGGGGAGGGGCCGGGTTGAGGTTGGGTTGCTGCCTGCTGGGGGTCAACTTTGGGCTGGGGGTTAATTATGGGCTGGGTCTGGGTCGCGGTTAGCCTTGCGGTTATATGGATTTGCGGTTTCGGTTGCGGTTAAACCGCAAACCGCAAAACAACCCATATCTCCAACCGCGACCGCAAAATAGGCAAAATATGTGGTTTGCGGTTAACCAATAACCGCGCGGTTTCGGTGCGGTTATCGGTTTAACCGCGAAACCGCAACCGTTTTCCCAGCCCTAGTATACAGAGCATAGAGTTCAAAAATTTACCACTACACAGGTTGGTGATGTAACCCATCAACACTACTCTATTCTAGTGTCCTGCCATTTTGAAGTAACAATACCCACCCACATAGATCCACAACAATGAGGAGAAGAATGAGAGAAAAGTCTAGATAAACCAATACAAATCCTGGATGCTAACGAAAAGCATAGGTAACCGCAATATATTTAAAACCTGTTTCATGTCCTCTGAAGCCCTAATTGAACCAATTCACTTAAAGAAACTCAGACAATTGAAATCAGATACACTGCCTTATGGGAAACGATTGAAAGACTTACTTGAAAGTACTGCTTAGAACCATACAAATGACTTTGTTTCTATTTAGTCCTTCTTATCAAAACTGCTATAATCACTACAGGAAAACTCACAGTAAGGCAAAGCCAGCAAAACATAACTGCTTGGATTAAAGGATCATCTGTTGACTCCGCGAGTCATAATAATCACATCCTAGCTTTGTTTTGTAGGAAAAAAATTGATAAATATCACAGGGGGAATGTGTCATTTGAGAATTGAAGTAAAGAAAGTGCAAAGCCAACCAAGAGGCGAGAGCATAACCACAAATGAGGATTCGAGCATTACCTCTCCACGGCAGCGTCTTCTTATCTCCCAATAATTTCAACTCCTTCGGCGGCCCTCCAAAGCCAATGAAAAAGAAAAAGAGACCTGCAAGAAAGAGAGATAGCCAAACAGAGTTACAAAAGAGTAAAGAGAGAAAACAACGGCATAATTCTGCAGTTTGTAATCTTCTTGTGAGCTTCCAATTCGGATGAAAGAAATAGATAACCAAGGAATAAACTACCTATGTTTGTGCAAAGGAGAGAAATCTAAAATAGTTTTGGGCGCCACATCATTCACTAATCACCATTGCAAGTTCGATGAGTGGATTGCATCACCCAAGATTACCCGCAACTGTCTGAAAAGATGTCGAACAGCTGTGGGGAAATAGACAGAACCCTAAGAAACCCAGCAAGTAGTAGAGGAAACTGGCAACCCCATGTTACATTTTTTCTGGTCTGTCATCCCACGCGTGCTCTTTTGCAAATCGATTCTCTCATCGCCAACTGCTAGATCTGAGAAAGAAATCAAAGAACTCTTTTAAGAGAAAAAGAACCATTTAAGAACAGGGTGAAAACAGATTCATCAGAAGAGAGGAGTTAAATCACCTGGAAATTAAAAAAAGAACCTGTCGATCGGGGGCTTTCTGATTCCTCTCCTACCCCTATCATCCATCTCTTGTTTGCTTCCACTCCAACGCAGAAAAAAATGAGAGAGCCAGAGGTTGTGGTTTGCTCCTCGCCATGGCGGAGATGAGAGGAGAGAGTAAGAGGAGAAGAGGAGATATGCGCGGAACCCTCCCTAATCCTCCATTGATTGCTTCGATTCTCTGACCGCCTAAAAACCCAGAAGAACAGAATCAACAGAGGTGATGAGAAAGCATACAGAGAGAATAAGTGAGAGGAGGAAAGCTTAAAGGAGAGTGGTTCGAAAGCAATTAAAGCAAGAGAGACCATCTTCGGATCTTCTGTGAGCGGGTGGAGATAAAGATCGATGCAGAAGTGGTTCCTTCTTCCTCTTCCTCATTCTTAAAGTGGCAGAGAGAGATCCCTTATCTCCACCAGAACCTAGCTCTCCATTTTTTTTCTCGGTAGGGATGAGGAAGACGGAGATTATGTGAACTGCTCTTCAGATCGGTAGTGTGAATCATTCAAAAAATGAATCGATTCCGTCAAACCCACCTCCAAGGAATCGATTGCAGAGTGAAGAATATGCAAATAACAACCACAAAAGAGAAGAAACGGTTAGATCGAAAACTGAAGATAGAGAGCGAAACCAAGGCTTAAAAGAGAGAGAAAGTACTCACTTTTCGATCACCTGGGTCCTCCCGTTGCAAAGAAAGAGGGGATATCAGTTTAGAAGAGAGGGAGAGAGAGATGAGGAAGATGGGGTTCATGTGAAAGATTGGAGCCAGATGAAGGAGAGGGAGTGATTTTGAGAGTGCAGAATAGAGGGATGAAGAAGGAAGGGAGAAAACTCAGTGGAGTTTCCCGAAAACCAAGACCCCACAGCCATTCTCCAAACATCTCCCACTACCCGAATCCCTGCCTCTCCCAATGACAACCATAAAATACCTGCAATGGAGAATGGATTCTGGATACGAAAACCCAATCATCATTTGATCGGAAAAAACCCAGACATGACCGTTGTACGTTGCCGACCTTGCCACCTTCCGATCACCACCAACATCGTCGCTCACACCTTTCCTCCTCTCCGTCCAAAGAAATAAGACACAGAGAAATAGGATCGTCGTCGATCGAGGCTCCTGACAGATCTCCTTCTTCGGCAAGCTGCTGCTTCATCGCGGTTTTTGGAGTTTCTGGCGATCGCAAAGAGAGAAAGAGAGTTCTTCGGAAATGGATCGGTGAGAGAAGGATAAGAAAGTGAAAAGAGGTCAGAGAAGGGGAAGATGGCAGAGAAAACAGAGAGAGAAAGTGAAAAAGAGAGTGGACAGAAAGGAATAGAGAGAAAGTGAAGTTATCTTCTGGCCTGGGTAATTGACCCTTCTCTGCATCTCTCTCTTCTGGCCTGACACAGCAACATCAAAGCAGCAATAGAGAGAGGGTGGGTTGCAGACTTGCAGCTGCGAAATGATGGCTAGGCAGGCTGGCGCGCTTTCTGTGACAGCTGCAAAGTGACGACAAAGAAGGCCCAGCCAAACCTACCAACCAATCAGAGGGAATAGTTGAGAGAAGCAGAGAAAGAAAAGCAAGAAAGCAGAGAGCCAAGGGGAAATGAGTGCTCATTTGAGGGCAACTCGGGACTCACAGCAACAACGCATCAGACAAAGCTGGCCTGGTGCTGGATAAACTCAACGGCAGCCCAACCAATGTCACCCCTTTCAAGATAGACAAAGAGTGGTGGGCCCAACTGCAGACCAGGGACCAATCAGAGGAGGGTGAACGGTAATTTTGAGTCTAAATGAACAGGAATTTCGTGTCTAGGCGAACAGTGTACCGTGTCTTTGCAAATAACTTTTTTCAATGTTGATATTATTTGTTGGGTTCAAATATAAACATTTTGATATTAATGTTAAATATTATATTTAAATATGAGAAATTTTTACTTTTTTATAATGTTTTATATTATTTAAATGGATGTAATTTGGGAGATTGTGTTGAGATATGTTTTTTATATATATGTACATAATTCAATTGCGTATAACTATTTCCTAATTTCTTTACGTATTTTGTTAAAATTAGCATAAACTAAATAAACATGTTCTATCCTAATCAGATCATTTCACTTGATAAATCGATATGACAATATAAACTAGTTTGATAACCTTGTCTTCCCTTAGTTAATAAATTTGATCATGAGCGTATAAACCTTATACATGTTGCTTTGTAAAAGTAGTTAACTCTTAATTGTCAATATTGTCGCACTCTTGTGCAACATGATTTCCTATTATATATTAAGCTCCTATTTATTCCCAACAAATCTAGTTTACATCCTGTTTTATGGATTTTTTTCTTCATACGCATTTCTTGGAAAGTTTGTAACTAAAATTTATGATTATATGTGATAATCCTTTCAGTTCAACTAATGACAATATTTTCAATATTTTATTTGATATTGGGAACGAATAAAAGCCCATTGTACAGAATTAAGTGTTTTTTTAATAATTTGATTGAAATTAAGTATGATCTGTACATGTTTATTCATTTATATCTATATACAAATAATTAAGTCTTTGCCGCATCAATCATATCAATATTCTATGACAAACATTCCATTCCCAAGTCCCAACTTTGAATTATGGATTATTGAAAACAATACTTGAGTACTCGAGGTTTGGTATTTGTTCTTATCACATATAATCATAGTGACCAAAATTATGGATTATTGAAAATAGAGAGTGACTATATGAGAATATTAGCCCAAGTCGTGCGGCTATACTTCGAAGTCATGTGTTCGGCTTCGTTCTTAACTTGCAGATGCGTAGTATTGATCAGGATTATTTGCACTTGGTAGATGTTAATTTTGATGGTGAGTGAATGCACGACTAGCATTTTTAATAGGATTTATTTTCCTGTTGCGTTTTCAACTTTATCCTTAGTCATTATCCATAAAATTTGCTTCAGTAGTAATTGTGAGCACCTGTCCTTGTAACATTTTGTAGGTCAGTCTATGTCGTTCCAGATGCCTGGCGGGGTAGGTTTGTATCTTACTGAGGATGACGTCGAACGTGTGCATGGCTTGCCCAAGGGTACCAATATTGTTGATCTTGACATCTTCGACTAGCGCAATACAAAGGAATGGGCGTTGGCTCTTGGCATATCCACAGTCGGCCCAAATATGATCGACCTAATGCAGCTGAAGAATGACATGAGGAACACAACCGATGATGAATCTTGGGTGTAGATGTGCATTATGTTGAGCATTGGATATGTCTTGGACCCAAATGGCAGTATGACTGTGATGCATAAGTACCTTGGATTCATGAGGGGGAGAGCTGCTGAAGAGATTAGAAACTTCAATTGGTGTGGTCACTTGCTGAGCCGGGTGAGACGGGCTATTCTTGGGAATTCATATAGAAAATATGTGGAGGGCGATGTGCACTTTCTCATATGTGCATTCCTAGACCGGACCGGTGTGCCAAACACACCTGGAACAGTTTCTACCCTTATACCAAGTTGTATGTTAAGGAATGAGAAACGAGTGTCAGGGCTCAAGGAAGCAGTCCTTAGTACTTCCAATGATCTGAGGTTTGTCCCTATATTGGATTTTCCAGGGTCTAAGACCAATAAGAACAAACTGGTGGAGGAGATTGGAAAAACTGGGGCTAAGCATGTTGATTCTATGGGCATTGCTAGAGAGGTTTGTTCGAAAGGTGTGCAACCAGAGAATTCAGATGGGGGAGAATCTGAACAGAACACGAAGCCCAAGTCGCTGTTCGAACTTATGTCCTTGAGGACCGACCACATGGACACGAATGAGGTTAGCCCCTTAATTTTTATAATTATCAAAGTTATTGTGTACATTATCAATATTTTTCGACCTTATTATCAACTAAATTTTCGGTTGGTTATGTCTTCGAAATGCAGCTTTTGTATATGCGGAAGGAGGCTTTAAGCTTCCTTGCAACGCTTCGCGGTCAGCTGACCTTCTTCAAAAGACTGGTTGGTGTTTGCGAGTCAGAGTTAATCAGTCGTGACATCACCTCATTTGATGATGAAGATGAAGCTGTCAACGGCTCGGCCTCTCGGGAGGAGACTGTTCCTGAGTTTTTCGGTGGAGGGATCTGCTTCGAAAATTGCATCCCCACCTGCCAAAGGTCTTGGAGAGATTTGCACATCGCTTGATAACCCCGGTTAGTTTCCTACCAATTTAATGACAATTATTAACTAGGATTCCCAATTCATTACTTTTTTAGAACTTATTATCAATATTTTCACACGATAATTAAATTTGCCATCCTTGTTTTATATTATTAATCAATTTATAATCGTTGTTAACATTTTCTATCTAGCATATTAGAAGTTAACATTTTCTAATACTTAATTTTTTATTAACAAATAATGTCGAGATAATTAATAAGAATGTCATAAAAATATTGATAACAGGTTTAAGAATATTAATGAATTGGTATTAGCAGTTAATAATCTTGTATGAAGATATTGATAATAGGTTTAATGAAATCTGGATAACGTGTTAATAATCGTGTATAAAAATATTGATAATACGCCTTGTTAGCATTAGCCACAATTTCCTGTATCGTAGGCAACGAGATTAGAGAAGACGTTGGCATCCACTGTGCTACTGTTGATAATGCGCCACTTGTACCTAACCCTAATGATCAAGATGCTGAAGTTGCTAAGAAGGCTGACAAGCCTAAGGTGGGCAATGCATGCGCGACATACAAGCGCAAGAAAGGAAAGGATGACTCGGTTGTGGAAGCAGAGGACGAGGCCAACCACATAAGAGGCCACAGAGGGAGATTAGGTCATCTAATCTAGTCACTTCTCCATTTACAGGGACAAAGATAGATACCCTAGTTGCTCCTAAGAAGAAGACAAAGAATGCTCTGCCCTTATGTTTCGTACTTGATCCTAATATATGGGAGGACTTGGTGGTGTGTTATGCTTGGAGTCCGAGAATCACGATGTAAGTGATTTTCTTCTTCTAACACCAATCACTAATGCCTTGTTTATGACATCGGTTCATCAAAATGATTTCCCCCTTCATTAATAATATAGAAAAGAAGAGTTACGAACTCTGAAGGACAATACTCTCTCGCTTTGGAGGGAGGACACACAATCATCTGCGCCTCACACCTACTTTGAAGACGCATTCGTTGATTGTTATTCTGATTATCTCAATCGTCTTGAAGTGAAGAAAACCAATGGTTCTGTCACTAGATGGATTTTCATGTCCCCATTTGTGGTATTTTTCCAACAACCAATGTTTATATGTTATTTTTTTAGTTGTTTTGTTTTCTTGTTACCGATTTCACATTCTGACTTTTCTTTGTCTTATAGCAAAACTTGTTGTAATTTGAGGAGGAGAATGAAGTCATCCAACCAGGAGATACAGAGCCTACTCAATTTCCTGTTCGGAGAATGTTAATTGATGAGTTTGAGACAATCGCTTGGCTTGAGGACAAAACTATGACAAACTGCAATTTTGTGAGTATCGTTCCTTAAATATTTCCATTTTTAACAATTTTTATTCCGTTTACAATTTTTTAACATTTGTTAATAATAAATCACATCAGTAACATTTAACATACCATTTGTAACAATTTCCTTTTACCTTTTTGCAGTGGTTTTTTCCTGTGTGCATCGCAACACACTATGTCGTTTACTGTGTTGACATACAGAAGAAACAATACCAATTTATGAACGGCAAAAAATCAGGTTGGGATGGAACACCGTACAAAGAAATGGGGGAGAAGCTTGTC